TCGATTTTGCATACGCGGAGCGGCTACTAAATTAACAGGACGCCTAAAAACAAAAATAATAATAATGATAAATTGCATAAAACAAAACGTAGGTAAAAATAAAAATAAACAAAAATGAGCTGAAGATATAGAAATGTTTTTAGCGGTCAGAAGCATAGGTACGCAAGATTCTATTTCGGATATGGCTTAGATCAGCTATACGATCTAATCCACCTAAAAGGTAAGAGTGGTGTTGATCATGATCACTTAGGACTCGGATTTCAATATATTTGTATCTTTTTTGGGTTGCCTGACTGAATGTGTTTTAAATGTACCTATAACAAATTGCTTTTAAGACATTTTTAAAATATTTATAGGTGTGTCATTTTTAACATAGGTAGTTCTGAAAATATGACAAAACAAAAATCACATAGTACACAAGTATTAAAATACGTATTTTTTAAATTTTTACGATACTTGATTTTAAAATAACATTAGTCTAACAATCGGATAGTAACTGATTACATACAAATGTCGATTTAATAATTCAACACGGGTCAACACATTTTTAAAGAATATTAATTAAATAGATGATTCTAACGTATAATCAAAATAAAATTATTTTAAATGTAAAATTAGTTTATGTCATAAATGAATTTTTGAGTATTTTTTTGGTACTACTTTACACCTTTGAGTATAAAAAATATTATACAGATATTTTTTTTAACAGTCGATACTTGGTGGTTATAGACAACGCAAATAGGTATTTTAGGAACATCATCATACGTACCAAGTACAGTAGCACCTACACCATCGTTTGAGGCTATGCGCAGGGCGACCCGAGGCAAATGCAATTATATACCCATATATGTAGCGTGCAAAAAGCGAACAACAGTGTTAATATAAGAAATTAGAATAATAATTATCATTACAATTGTTATTATAATGAGTGATGAAGTGTGAAAACGGCGCAGGTATTGGGATGTTAGTAAGAAAGAAAGATGAAAAGGAAAGAACAATTATGAAAATACTTCAATACCTATATTAACAACGATAACGGTAAAACGAAATACTGCAAAAGAAAGACCTTTGTAACTGCGTAAAGGACTTAATATTACACCATTATTTTTAACCTTGATCTCAGCCCAGTAAAATAAAATTATTATCAATTGAACCCCACCTTCCATTTTTTTTAAGTTTGAATTATTTTTTAAACAAAGGGCCACTAAGTTTATTTTCTTAAAAATCGTCTTATTGAGTTTATTTAAATTTATACACAATTTATGAATGTATATTAATGAAATTTTTTTAACAGTAAACCTACAAATTTAAAAAATTTCAATCCAATTTTATATGATTAGTTGAAACTCTAATCAATATCAATTTTTAAGATCGAAAACAATTACTAACAAATAAGGTTAAGTTAATTTCAAAAAAATTGGTTCTACTTGGTAACAGATTAAATTAAGCGTACAGATGTGCACGGAAAAAAAGGTTACCAACTTATTTTTTTTTTAAATAAGTGTGTATAGTATATAAGAAAAAAAACCAAATCAAATGCAAGGTTTGAGTTCGAAATATCGCGTGTTACCGTTAGCGTTGAAAACACTGTATTTAGGCATAGGTTACTATAGCGAGTATAGGCCGAGAGGCCAAACCCGAAAAATCGCACAAGTGTTTTTTATTTTTTTATCGGTTATTTTTAATAACAATATCGTATAATTAATTCAATTGTTTTTTAAAATAATATTATGTTATATTCACAATAATCGGTGAATAAAAAAGCCTTTCTTTGTTTTCTGTGCTTGATTAATACATTACACTACAATTTTTGTTTATAATAATATTGTATAATGCGCATAACGTACAATTTTTCTTTTTTTCGTTTATTGCTACAATCCGACACGTTTGTCTAAGGTACATCATTTTTTTTTTTTGCAAGTGTCTTGTACATATAATATTCAGAGATAACAATATTATTTATTTTAAATTTAAATCGATGGTATAGTAAATATGGTTAATATTTAATGAGCGTTATTAGTATTACATAATATTAAAGCCAATCGTTTTGAGTCAGAGCTAAAACACATGTCACTCGCCACGGTAAAGTGGTATGTAAACTAGAGCAATGCCCAGGAATCACTAACAATAATAACATTATTGTGAATATGGATACATTGAATACAATGATGCCGAGTCGCCGAGTGTCAATAGTTGGTAACTTCTAAATATTAATGAACAATGTACAAATCGATCTCTGCCTTTGAATTTAGAGTTACTCGCAAGGTAACGGTACAGGCGTACAGCGTTTTGTAAGTAAACGAACATATTAAAATTATTCCCAGTGTAACAAGTATAAGTCAGTTTCAATTGTTCGGTCTTGTTATGATGCGAGAGTTGTTAGCAATATTTAAAAAAATGTATTCAAACAATATCTATTGTATTGACCGTATCATAAAAAGTATTGTGATGATAAAATTATTATATAGGTTAGGGAATATGGAGTTAACTCGGTATGAGTATAACATTGTGCACGCCATTCAATCGCACGAGGACTGAAGTGGATGACTATGATTTTAGCTCACACTCACAAAAATTGCTTACGATTATTTTAATATTAAAAAGCAATCAAATTACTAGGAACACAAAAAAAAACTAGTTATGTCGTATTTCATCAAAAAAGTAATTGACTTAACAATACAATTATATCAGAATATATAACCTAAATATTCCTATTCTGTAACATACACTTAATGATTATCTTATTATATAAAAGTTTCAAAGTCTTTTTTTCCTTGTCTAATACAATTGAAAGGACTTAACAATTTTTTTCAATAACGATGACATAAAATATGTTTAATATAAGTTCGTTTTAATTGCATATTTCAAACAACATCCAATTATTGCTCTTCATAAAACAATATAATTTTATATTGTAGAGTAGTCACACTATGGATTCAGGAGTGCAAAGCCAAATATTGCAAATTAGGTAGGTTATATTTAAGTTAATTATAATATATTCTCTTTATTTTAACAGAAAATATTCATAAATTTTAAGATTATTAATTTGCCACGTCTAAGAGTAATTTATCAACAAAAAATGTATAATATATCATTTCATTGAATAAAATTGTTTTTCTCTATGTTAATTTCCATTTGTTATTACTTATTATGATTACACTAGTCTCTGTATTTAACTTCAGGAACTCTGGTAACTAAATAATTAACAATATATTAATTTTAAATAGCTTCATTCTTGTATACAGACAATAAAAATATAACCTTCTCGACTTTATAAAAATAAATGCCGCTCAATAATTAAAATAACTGATTACATAATACATATTACATACTTAAAATGTGATTGTTTATAGGGATTCATGTTAGAAAAAAAAAATAGAAAACCCCTAATTGCACTTAAAATTAAATAGATAAATTTAATAAATGGAATGATAATAAATTATAATAATAACAATAACAGGACCTCTTTGTCTTAAAAATTATTAACAAATAACGAGGCCTTAGGTAATAATATTATTATTTTATGTACATAACAAAACAAAAAAAAATTGAGTTTATGCGTAAACATTCAGTTACTAAGAATCACATTTCATACGTACATCACATCTAGACTATATTTAAACATTTTTAATGAATTAGCCTAAGAGGGGATGGATAATAAAATCTACAATAAATTATTTTGTTTTAATTTTTAAATTAAAAATGTTTTGTCTTGTTTTTTTGGGCATTCACCTGCTTCTTAAATAGAAGGTAAATCAAGTCTAGACATTTTCTTCGCGTGCTGAAATTAAAGAACCAAAAAAATGTTGGCATACACTTATTTTGTTTTTGAATTCCTGATATAAAAACTTCCTAAAGCTAATAATTATACTTATGTGTTTCACTTGTCTTAATACATTGAGTGAACAAATTTTCCGGTTTTAAACTAAGTAAATAAAAAGGCAGATACTTATAAATTATAATATTTAAAAGTATAAACTGACAATAATTTTAACTGTTCACATTATCCATAGTAAATTGTATAATAAGTATTATAATAAGGATTAAGGTTATACTAATACTTATTAAACAGATAATAAATAAAATGAAAACCATAAATATTTTTGTTACCTTTAGTTTGTAAACTTTTGAACTATCTTTCAATAAGCATTGTAAGACAAATGAAAAACATTTAACAAAAAATACACTAAATTGACATGAATACATTTGGTATAAACTCACCATGCCATGTATACATCTAGCAAGTGAAATACACAGCTTATTTGAAACGGTTGGCAAAAGCATTGGTAAGCTCATTGACAGCTACTTGTGCTACAGCTTGGCCGACCGCTTGTTGTACACGTTGCGGTATTTGTGGCATTGATCCTCGCCTGTTATCGCCAATACCATGATAATAATATGAATATTTAACTCGCGCATAGCCATTATTTTATAATTACAGACATTTCTTATAGTTAAGATAATTATTTTTAATAAGATATAATAAAATGTTTAAATAAATATCAACAATCTATTTGTACCATAAACCCATTGGTATAACATTAATAAATTAGTTTAAAACTGACACCAATATCATTACCAGCAAAAGCATTTGTTTTGATAAATTTTTATTAAAATAAAATATATATATGAATGTATATATATAAATACATTTTAACTGGAATATAAGCGTTGAATAATATGCCGATTGCTGAATTTAGTAACATTAATATAAGTGCTTTTAATAATAACTACGTCTAGAAAAAATAAAATTTTGTTGTTATTAGTTGGTTTATCTAAATATTTTAGTATCCAGTTTTATTCATAGTCAAGAAAATTTTGATTTCATACATTGAAAATGCAATTTAATTAGCCATATTTTATTATAATATTAAAAATTGTATTCATTATCAATTATTTATTATTATTATATTTCCAATTCACAAATTACCCAATATCACGATATTATTCAGATTACAATATTGAAAAGTTATTTATTTACTATTTAGTTTCATAATAAGTGTTGGGACACATCTTTGACTTTCATATTTGAGAATATCTAAAATGATGTAAATCAATAGCATTTTCAACATAATAAAAATGGTTCAGTTATACTTTTTAAAGTGCAAAACAAAACCTAGCTGACAATTCTACAACTTTTTCTTGACTATGCAACTAGAAAACATATAATGATGAGCTTAAACACTAAATAATTTCTAACCAGATATTAATATCACTTCTTAGATCGTTTTAATTATAATAAATTAATAACAATGTACATGGTCTAACATTTTGTTAATTATGAGCTAAAAAAATAAAATAGTAGACAATATACCTTAAAATAGTCGAATAATATTTTATATACGTAATTCACAATCACTACCAATGATAATTGTTAAAGGGTGACTGTGTGAGTATTCCTAATATAGGAAATAATTATAGATTATAAAAATTAATACTTAAAGACTTACAAACTGTGAATTATTTAACAAATATTAGGTAACATACCTAGGTAAATAACATCTAATTACCTAATTATACTCATGTGCTAACCTAGACAATGAGATTAACCAACATAACGAATACAAAACAAATATATATAAGTAAATATTTTTTTTTATATAACAAATAAATAATAAAAATACTATTATTAATCACTCAAATCGAAATAAATAAAACAATGGACCAAATTTAGCTTACTCTGGCTTCAATTTAATGTGTATAGGTTAGTTGGTTATGAATATAGTGATTATTATTAATGAAGTTGCAGATTTAATCGGCCACCGAAGACATGCTCGACAATACATATTAACGGCGTCTGAAATGTAAAAAAAACCACACCGTCTCCGTTGCTGCCTTTTACACTAAACGTTAGTAGCTCAAACTAACTACATGTTAGTGAGTACCATCATTGAGTACATAGCTAACTAGCTAATAATTGTTAGTAAAGCTAGTAGTTAGCTACGCACTAAATAATTACTAATTTTAATAAATATATAATTAACAGAACTATATTATATTAGATTCAATTTATGGGAATTTCTATGAGCTGTAATGATAAATGTTTAAAGCAATTAAATGCCCAAATCGACTTACGAAGGAATTAAAGGAGGAGGAAGTCCCTGGCCACCAGGCCTACCAGGTGGAGCAGGAGGTTGTCGTCCCTGTTCAGGCCCAGGTCTGTTGGGTATTGCTGGAGCTGGTCTTCCTGAAGCTGGAGGTGGTGGAGGTGCTCTTGATGCAGCATTTGCAGGTGTTGGGTTAGAAGGTACTCCTCTACGTCCAGCACCACCAGGGCTTGGTGGAGACAACCTTAACAATAACAAAAAATAAGAAATAAGAACTGTAATAAGTATACACAAATAATATATAACAAATCTACCTTGGGTTATCAAGACTAGATGCAAGCCAATCATTCTTGACTGGTGGAGGAACGGGTGTGGTAACAGTAGCCATTGATACATCACCAATAATTCTCAATGCTTCTTTACATGCTTGGTACATGCGCATCATTTCCTCGCGTTTTACGGCCTCTTCTGCACTTTCTTCCATCATTTGAGACTTAAATATAAAATGTACTGATTTAGTCTTAAAATTCATTCATCATTAAATATAAATAAAAAGTATTTATTTATTTAAAAGAACACACAACACAAAAAGAAATTTTCTTCAAATTATTATTAAATGCTAAATAGTCAGAACTATTAAAAACGATTGTCAAATTAAAAAACTTAATTTTTTGTGTTTGTGCTCCTTGAATGATAATAATAACTGTATTGTGTTGTACAAAGTGTGATTTAATTATTAGAATATTTTAATAATATAAATTAAGTGCCTATTAAAAATATTTAATAATATTAAAACCAATTTATTATTGAAAATAACCAAGAATTATGAAAAAATTATTACTTTTAAGAGAGTTTAACCATTATGAGGTCAACTGTCATCTGTTGTCCATCATACAAATGTACAAAAAGCAAATTTATGCTTAATAGAATCAATTTTGAATTTTAAGCTTTAATATTAGAGTTAATCGACCTACAATCAAACATAAAATAATGTCTACCAATGTTATACATGGGCTTTTTTACAATACTTTAAATTTTTAATTGTGATGTTACACATACTCCAATTACGTATAAGAATCAGTAAACATACATAATGTTCTTATCTTTGAGTTTGATCAATTCACTCTAAAATTAAAATTTAGAGCTTACAACGTAATATTAGTTATACTAAACACATTTTTGTATGTTGGATGTTTGTAAGACATAAACAAGATATGTAGGTATAAAGTGCATGTTAAATTAATGATTGACGTTGGATAACTTAGGAGATCAATTAAAAGGTACCACACAATCAAGTATGTTTTTAATCTAGTTTTTTCAATCAGAATATTGAAGACAACATATAAAAAAAACTAAGATACCTCATTATTGAGAGTATTTATGATTAACCCTTTATCAGGTCGCAAAAGGTAAACAATTTCTCCTCTTGAATATTATAATTTTAATAACCATCAGAAAATCAAATTTCTTATCTTATGCTTAGCATGATTGGTTTATTTTGCAATTTAAGTCTAGTTATATTGAATCAGTATCATATTGTTTAGGCCTATTCTACTTGTAAAATAATTTAATAAATTATTCCCCAATACGACTATTTGATTACAATGTTCATCATAAGTATTATATTTTTAATATATATAAATGTTTTAAAAAATTCTTATGCCGTGCTATCAAATATGAAAAAAACAAGGAACCAATAGAAGGTACATACCAATAAATTTTACTACTTAGCATTTAAGTGGTCTTGGCATTGTTAAATATCTGTATTTTTACTATTCTAAGTTTAGAAAATTGAAAATAACACAAAATATATACATATTGTAAACTAATTTGGTGTGGACGCTGCTCCGTCAAGTTATCTAACGACAACATAACTATATATATTATATACTGTATACTGTATGGGTATTAAATTAAATAGTTGTAACATTTTAACAATATGCATTATATATAAATACCTGATCACCAGATGCATATAAATGAGCTAATAATTCTCCATTTATAAAATCTTTTGAGTTGTTTATGATCAAATGCATAATGATTTTAGGGACTAGATCTCTACAAGATTTTGTTACAATTTTCATATATGAATCAACTAGATTTCTTATAGTCTCCACTTGTCTTTCCAAAACTGGATCCATAGATGTAGTAGATTCTGTACTGCTCTATAATAGTAAAATATTAAGTTGATAAATATTTTGTAAAATATTACTGAGAAATTAAAATATGACACTAACCTCACGACCATCCTGATCGAAAGGCAAAAAAAAAAATTTAATTAAAAATGTATACATAAATGTTAAATGTCAGTTGTGCTAAATTTACCTCATCACTATTGGATACATCTGATGACTTTTCTGGATAAACACCTGCACGTAAAAATGATGCCTTCCAAGAATCTACATCATCTTGTGTTTCGCAACTTAATTCAAGCTGTTTGTAGTCCTAAATAAATATATTTATGTAATTAAAAAAATGTTATAAACCAATTCTCCACTGATCTTTTGAAAAAAAGTTAAATACAATGATAAATTGCCATTGATAAAGCCATAATAGTATACTATAAATTATAACTTAGAATATATTAAGAGTTAAAAATTACTATGACATAAATTTTTAAATTAATTAAAAACCAGTGGAGAGTAGGCTTAATATTACACATAATTCAATTCAAAATTCACCTTGTAAACATTACGGCCTTCTGGATTAAATAGTGCAAATGTATGACGACGTGACATAAAACCTTGTTCAACATCTTTGATTTTCAATCCATCTAATGGTAACATGTACTTTTTTTCTCTTTCCTTTAAAAGTAATAATTATTTATTTTTTATAAAATATCTAATAATATTTATTCAATTTAAGTACATACCTCTTCATCTTTGAACCATGAGATGTTTTCAGACATTAATACAAACCAATAATCCCTAGAACCTCCTTTCATAATGCCCAAATTATGTATACACATCCATCCTTTACGTATCACCTGATTACCAAGCTTATGAGTTTTGTTAGAGTTATCAGAAGACTGTTGTGCACTAAAAGACAATATTATATTACATAGGTAATAAATTAATAAAATATATAATTGTTGAGATGAAACTGTTATTACATACTTTGCGAATCCAATGAAATCTTCATGATTTGTATTCATGTAGGCAAGTTCACATTCAACCAATAGGATTAACTGTTCTTTACACATTTGATCACGATTACGAATATACGATGTAATGATTCGTTCGGTTTCTTCTCGTAAACGTGGGTACCTGGACATCTATATCATCAAAATTATATATTTCTTAATATAATTTTATACAAATCAAGTGTTCGAATGTCAATTATATACACACCTTATCTGTACAAATTCTAACTACGTTAGATAATTCATTAACAACGAGATCGGTACATTTCAATGATGGTTCTTTCAATCTAGCAATTTGCTTTTTCACAATAGCTTCAAATGCCATATCAGGCGTGAATAAACCCACTCTTATACCTATAAATAATATATACAAATATATTTATGAAAGTTAAATATCTTCTCATGATATATTACACACCATGAATGTTTCTGATGGCAAATGCTATTTCCCTCCTTAGTTCTTTTTCATCAATTTCCATTTTCACAATTTCAAATGGGAAACGCTCATGGAATAAACGATTGATTTTAGCACCTCCGGATAGTTCATTGGTATTTATCTGAGCAGAACCAGAACCTTCAATTGTGCGTTCAAAATCGGATTGAAGTTGTTGAATCATTCTATGTTCACGAGAATACAATAAATAGTAATGTACGAATAAATGATGAATGACTCAAAATTTCTTACTGTAACATTGCTTTTGTTTTAATAGCTGGATCGTCTGGCCTAAAGTATTTAAACTGCTCGACATCTTTTTCTAATGTAAGCAATTGTTTCTAAAAGTAATCATATTATAAGTTACAATGAACTTCATAAAAATAAAATAAAACATACTTGTAATTTATCCCTAAGACCTGGCAATGTATCTCTAATATGATTTGTGAGCTGTTGATTCAAAACTCTTTGCAAATATGGAGTACCAAGTCTATCAGCCATATGTCTATAAGATGGATGCCTAAACAGAAAAATTATAATTCATACAGATTAACTCTTCTGGATTAAATTTTAACTAAATAAAAAATATTCAACATACGCCAAAAAGAATTTTCTTTCTGCACTCAAAGCAGCTTTTATATCTTTACGGCCATCAATATCTTTCTGACTTCTATTTACTACACCAATGTAACCTCGCCTGAGAGGCAGAAGCTTGTTTTCTAGTATGTCTCTAGCATCAGTTCCTTCATCCATCAGATCCAATTTTGTTATGACACCAATAGTTCGCATACCTAAGAAATTAATATTATGTGTTTTAGTTATATACAATATCTGTAATATGGTAAAAAAGTGCATGAAACTAATTTCAATAACAACATATTAAATTTTAAATTAAATTAAAAAAAAATAAATACAACTTTTGTCAGAAAAATATGAACATAAATTAAGATAGGTAAATGGTTGCAATGGTTCAAAAATCATAGTGGATGTAATTATTTATTCTTAATGGGAGGAAAAAATGCAGAAATCTAAAATAATAATGAAAAAAATAGGATTTATTATTTTATACATAGCATGCAGTTTTACTACCATACATGATACATGTCTAAATAATCACATTTATAAGCGTGTGATAACTTATAAAATCAATTAAAATTTAAAAAATGACATAATGAACTCAACAGTGAATTAGTTCTTATTCAGATGTTACCAATGCTTAAAATGTTGACTAGGTATTCATTATTTTAAATTCAACAAATATCAAAATAAAATGTACAACCTGATAAAGAATACAATATATCAAAAACTCATCACACCAATATAGGAATAAAATGAAACAAATCTGATTGTTTTTATGTTAATATTTTAAATGGGTATGCCGTTCATAATTTCTCTAATAAATAATCAATTTATACTGATTATGTTGATATAGTAGGTATAGATTATTTAAGAGTTTATTAATACACAATATGTAGGTAGATGGAAAAGCTTATCATTTCTTACCTTCAGGGTCAACTTCTTTAGAAATTTTTAATGCATCACTGTTGGCCAAATCTTGGTTAGCTGGTGTAACAGCCAATATCAAGCAATTATCTCGTTTAACAAAAGTGAATAACATTGATCTTATTTGCTGTTCTATGTCGGGAGGCTGGTCCCCAACAGGTACCTTGGTCATACCAGGCAAATCAACAAGGGTCAGGTTCAACACTGGAAAATAATACTAGCAAAACTACACAACGGCCACGAATAAAACCAACAATGTTGAAAAATGTATGACTTGTTTCCTAGACCTATACCTTGATTTTTAAGGAATTGTTAATGATAATTTCTATACACTGTTTTAGTCTTTAGTCAGAATTAAACCATTTGATTGGTGATACAATTTTTTAAGGTTTAAAGAAACAAAAAAAAACGTTTAAGCAATGTACAAAGAACATTCTAAGGAAAACTAAAAAAACGACAAAATTGCTAATAGCATGACTTAGTGCAATGTTTCCGAGCAGACTACTGGCCGATTAACGTTTACCGTCTGGGTCAACTTGTTTTGAAATTTGTAAGGCATCTGAGGTAGCCAAATCAGCATTAGCTGGTGAAACAGCCAGTATAAGACATGTTTCTTTTGTGATAAATTGGAACAGCATGTCTTTGATTTGTTGTTCAATGTCAGCTGGTTGATCACCCACTGGCACTTTTGTCAAGCCAGGCAAGTCGATCATTGTGATGTTTAAAACTGTTTACACACGTTATAAATAATGACCATAATAAAATGGTATGAATTTTAAACAATATATAAATTAGTTAAAAACTACTGAATAAAACTAACAGTTTTGAAATCATAATCAATAATTACGTACTATTGTCTACTCGATTGTCTATTAGATATCTTTTTTTTTCAAATACCAAATAATCATTGTTTAAATTATATTGGAATTAATTAATATAATATGTTATGAACAATTTAATTCATGGAAATTAAAGATGTACATTTTTTTTATAGTTTCTATATTATATAACAAAAATTAATTAAAATTTCTTTAAATTCTTTTAATGGTACAATATAGGTAGGTTAATATATTATGCACTGTACTTACCATTAGGGGAATAAACCCTCAAATTTATTGGTATATTAGAAATTCCTTTATTAGATCCAGTCATACGGTCAGTTTCATTTTCTATTTCACGCCTAATTTCATCAAAATCTGAAAACTTCTTTCCTTTGCAGTGAAGAAATTCTCCATATTCTGTAAAAATTAAATTATAATAATGAACATCATTTATAATAATAAATCATTAGGCACTAAGGGTAAATCTCAGTTTAGTAAATATTTTAACTTGTTAAGTTTAATTTTATAGTACAAATTTAATATATTAATATGGTTGGGTTTTTTTTTTAGATAATTTAACAAATAAAAATATATTTTAACAAGCTATGATGAAGGTTAGGAATGAATAAAATTGCTTTTATTAATGATGTCAAAAAGTAAATGATTTTAATAAGTGGGATGTAATAGAAGTTAAATGGTACTTAAAAAGGTCATAATTTATTAAAAATGTATTAAAATGTTTAAAAATAATTCAAACATAAGATGGGTATTGACTTTAAGCACAAGTTTTCAAGTTTATTATAATGAAAAATGTATTTTCTATAGGTATATCATACTTATTGACATCAGTTGAAGGTTATCTGATTGGTTAGATCAAGTTTGAAAACAGAAATGTATTGTTCATACTTAGTTATAGAACAAAAATCTCATAATTTTACATAATATTCAATTTTACTTACCCAATGTACTATTAATCAACTGAAGAATAAGAGGACGACGAGTTACAATTCCAGATCCTCTTGGTAGAAAATCCCTAAAAATAAATTGTATTAATAAAAATGTAAGTTAAACAACTCAAATATAAAGCATTTTCAAAGAATGAGCAAATACATTGTAATAACATATGTATGTTTACATTTTGTACTAAAGTACTAGGTAGTTAATAATCATTTAAAATGTACCCAATAATTTGTATTTTGTTATAGGTAGAATATAATATATAATTGGTTATTTTGATAGTGGACTCCAGCTAACCTTGATGTATGATTAATCAACCCACATGCAAGACTGGTCATACAAATTTTAGAAATCATTCTTAAATTATGTCTATTTCAAGGGATGGATTGTATACCTGCATGTGTTATTTTTGTCTTTACTAACAAATAACCTAGAAAATATAATGTTTACGGTTGTTCTGAATAAACTGTTATACAGTGTTTTTTTTTTAAATACCAGAGTTTACCTATTATTAAATTTAAAGGTAAGTACATAATCCTGGCCGGCCCAAAAGTTTATTTGACATTTTAATTAAAGATTAAAATATACAATTTTTAAATGCTCATGAATTACTTTAAAACTAAAATACCCATAAAGAACTGTTTTAGATGTTTGAGTTTTGTTAAATTTAGCTCATTTTGAGTTAAATCTTTTAAATTTGTATGCATGTCTAATTTTAATTTGAGATTTTATGAGGTATTCAAGAACCAATCCCTAGTATATTTCAATTAATAACTTTAACCAAGCTCATCGGCCAAATAGAATCAATCGCAATTTATTAATTGATGAACAGGTACAAAAAGGGTTAAACCGTATCCCTGGTATATATGTATATATTTAAAAACATGGTCTTTATTATTTCTATGATTATTCATTTTATATACCTAGTGACATTAATGATAAATTAGAACTCTTAACTAGACTCTCTCTTAATGCAAATAAAAGATTTAAGCTAAAAACATTTAAGAATTTAATGGACAGTTATAAAAAATTAAGCTGCCTTAGAAACTATATCTATAAAAGGGTCTAGAGCAGAGGTTCCCAAACTGTGGGTCGCGACCCAAAAGTGGGTCGCGATTATACTTTTGGTGGGTCGCACTATTTTTTTAAATAATACAAAAATATAATCATCTATTACTTTTCGTTGATGTTCAAAGTTCAAATTCAGTTTTATCGTCAATCCTTATCTGTGAGTATGACAATTACGAGTTTACCAGCGGCCGTGTCAAATACTATATATTATACTTATTATACATTTTTTTCGTAATTACATAAAATGTAATAAAATAGTTTAATTTTCTGTTGTATGGTAAAAAAAAAAAAGGTCATTCATTGATATTGTGGGTCGCTATATTTAAAAAAAAATTCAAAATGGGTCGCACAATAAGAAGTTTGGGAACCTCTGGTCTAGAGGTTTAGGGTGTTAGAGGGTTGACTTCCAAAGTAAAAATTATCATAGTTGGAATTGATTCACAATGAGGCACACTAATAAATAATTACACATAGGTACCTAAGTTTGGCACTAAAGAATAGTATATGAAATAACTGGCATAACAAATTAAAACAATATTGTTTATATTATTGTTTCTAATCAATAGTTAAGTACTTATAAGTTTTTATTAGACATTTTTTAAATATTTATATAGGTTTTAATTAGAAAGTGAATTGTTGAAATTAATCTAAAAAGTTACACATGAGTAAATATGGAGCACCATATTAATTTATAAAATGAAAAAAACCATTGACCAAAATATCTAGTAGTGAATCTATTACTAGATTTCTCTTTAGTAAATAGGTATAGTAGGTGGGGATGAATGAAATAAACTATCGTGATTATAATGTAGGTACAATGAGAAACCAACCTAAAAAATAATATAGGCACCTACCTGTAATATTTAATGTATTTAGATTTTAGAAAAATAAAGCATTGGATCCAATAATTATTAACTATTTATAAAAAAACCATTTACCAAATACCAAATGGATTTACAACTAATACCTATGTCAATACATTTTTGGAAAATAGACAATATCATCTAGACATCTACTAAGGGTTAATATGATTCTATAACAAATTTTATCATACCTTATAAGACTTGTTTAAATATTTAAAACAAACAATACCTTCCTTATATATTTAAAGTGAACCTATTTCTATTTTTCATACCTAACACATACTCTAATCAATAAAATATATTTATACCTATTTGTTATGAAATTGTTTTAGTGCATTTAAAAAAAAAATTAGATTAAATACCTATATTTGATGTTTATATCTTAAAATGTAATAGATTTAAATATATTTTTTACCATTGCATTAAAAGTATTCAACTTGCTGTTATTTTTCAAACACGGTCAGAGGCGTTTTGTTAAAAAATATTTAGTACAAAATTAACATGTGTTTATCATCACGTCATAAATAATCAATAATCGTTGGTGTTTGTTAACGGTTTAATAGTGTATATGTATAAAACAGAATTAAATAGTTAAAATAAAGGTAAACTGCTTTAGGTTAAGTAAAATTAAATTATCTAGGTCTGTGCACCTTGAAAGTAGAAAATAATTAGATAGTACTTATTCTCATTACTATTATTCAAGGGTTTAGAGTTATTCAAATCAAAATATCTTCAAACGCATTATTTTATATAATGCTATTGTTACAGAATAAGTTACAAATTGATTGTCGGTCAAGTAATTAAATATACCTACTTAAATTAATAATTACATGAACACTATTATTCTGGTACTATAGGTACATCTTGAGGTTACAAATAAATTAAATAGATACAAAATTATCATTAGTTTAGATTAAAAATGATCAATTACAATTACAGCCATAGCACCTAAAGACGTTTGAAACATAAGTATGTTGCAATTAAAAATATTTAACAACCAATGTAAAACATATCACATATTTAAACATCAACTGATAAACTTCTATCAGTATATGAAATAACCCATACCCAACTGCCACAATATAGGTAATATTTATACACTGAGGTATACTGTACCTAATTTAAATATTACATCAATAAGCATGTTCATTATGTATACTTAGGGATATTTATACATTTAATCGTACATCTATCTCTGTAATTCATATGGCCCAGCATCCAACTGATGAAACCTTATAGATAGGTTCCTATCATGTGACACCCAAAATATATTTATCTGACTTTCATTTCGTTTATTTTACAATGAACAAATATTCAGATGAGTAAAATAACATATACATGGCATAAAATGAATGGTGCAAATGATAATTGTAAAAATATTCTGTGTGTAAATACACAGATTAATATGAAACTGATATGAGTAGGCTCATGGTTTTAAGCGAGGATGTTTCACATCGTTTGAAATGAGACGAGAAGGCTGCTATTGATTATTGTGCAGGTGTAACGGACAAATAATAGGGCCGTCGTTAACAGATATTAGACATAAAACAAACATCAGACCTCTAAGATGAGCAATTTTTTAATATACATTTTAATTTCTTATTAAAGAAGATAACGGGCAACGCTGAACATGTTCTTGCATGAATCGGAACAAAAAAAACCTTCTGGCAGTCGGGTAAGAGCAATTCGTGTGTCGGCGAACCTAAGTCACCGACGGACGTCAAGTTTCGCTTTACCTTCCCACAAAGTTCTCCAGCACGGAACTTTTACCAGCGCTCTGGCCACCGACCACCGCGATCTGGGGTAGGTCCAGCTGCATGTGCACGCCCAGCTGGGTGAACGCATCTTGGAGCTTGTTCACGATGGGTATCAACTGTTCCATGCCCATGTTGCCGGCCATCGCGGACAGCGGCGAAGAGCTTTAGGAAATGTAGTGGACGTATGTGTCTCACCGGAGACGACGGCGAAGGTCCAACCGTCAGACGATTGGCGGACTCTTTATTATTTTATAACGCTACACGACGGTATCGCGCGGCGGTGACGGTAACGGTGACGATGACGGTGACGGCGGCGGCGACGGCGACGACGACACACGCACTACGCACAATCACGTCTCACACCGTCCGCTGGACAATAAACGTCACCAGTCACCACTGGCAGCAGCAGAAGCAAAACATACGGACGGAAGCGATCGTTCGTACGGATACGGATGATTGTGCGTGTGCGCGCGCGCGCCCGCGCGTGTGTGTGTTTAGGTGTGTATGTATGTGTGTATTTGGGTGTGTGTGTGTTTCTGTGGTTATGTGCGTGTGCGTGCGGCGGCAAGTGGCAACGATTACAGTCAAACGGTCCGGCTCTCTCGGATTCCGACGAATGACACCGACCGGGTACGAGCGGCGCGGAGCGCGACTGCCGGTCGACGGGCCGCTGTTCGGCGTCCGAGCGCGCCCGAATTCAAACGAACCCCGCGCTGCGGCCCAAACGCTACGTACGCTTCAAACTCTCTTAACAACCCTACCGGAGACGATCCCAACCGGACCCCGGGGCGTGTGGCCGTCGTCCGCGGCGCTTACTAGATGGTCGAAATTTATAATACGAGTCGCCCGATTTTCACCCGGCAAAATGCTCAAAACGGAAGATCCCGAAAGCAAAACGTTTCGAAACGGAAGAGGAACACCTCCGAATACGTTGGGTTTTGAGTCTGTTTGAGATCGAAAACGGTCCTGAGCGGCGGCGGCCGAACAGCGGTCGTCACACCGGTGCGCGTCCGTACGGGTGGACGTGCGCGCCACGCCCCGCCGCCAGCCTACCGGCCGCCGCTCGACTCTTTGCCGCCGCCGCCGCCAACGGCGAGGAGGAAAAAAGCTCTCGCGCCGACGGCGACGACTACGACGCCACCGCACTAAGTTATACTTTACGCACGACGACGTACGACCCTTTATCGATTCCCTTTTCACTATTCCGCATTTCCGCGCGTGGTGCGTGCTATATACATGTCATAATAAAGGCAACGCAGAAAATCCTTGCCCCGCACTCATTGCATAATGATTATTATTTTTATTATTATTATTATTATTATTATTATTATTATTGTTGTTGTATCGCAAAATAAATGCATAATGTACGAGCGTCGGAGCATACGCGATTATTATTTTAATAATGATAATATGTCGGTTTATTATACTATATGCGATACGCCCACCTAAAATCGTGACAGTAATGAGAAATATAATATTTGATAGTATACAAATCGGCGAATCCTCTCGCTTATCGAAAACGAGAATACTATTACAATAAATATTATAATATCGTATTTGGCGTAATGTAATCGTGTAATACATATACACTGACATTAACGCAGACGCAACTCGCGTGCGTCATTGTAACCACATTATTTTTATTATTGTTGAGTCGTTGTGTGCGGGTAGAGTAAATTCGTAAATGATATTACTGTAATATCACTATAAATCGTTATTTGTTCAACGCTGCCGATCGACAAAAAAAATTTTAAATAATACGCGCTTAGACGTGTGAAAAAATTTTACACGTGGACCTGTATGATATTAGGTACTATGTGTGTAGTTGTATCACTGTTTGCCGCGTAGTTACAGACACCGACTATATGAAATATCATATTATGTACTATTTCCACATATAGATGTATCGCGTGTATAGTGTACCCAATGTACCTACGCAAACGCCAGACGCGGCTGTTTAGGACAGATTTGCACAACTGCACAAGTGTCCCCGCGGGGAGTGGTGCCTGTGGCTACTGCCTACGACCGACATATATATGTATATGACTTTACGTGCTATATAGTGTTTACGTGTGCGGTACGAATATAATTTGCATTATTATTGTCATTGTTGTAATATTTTCGTATTTGGCGCAAAAAAAAAAAACAGGAGCCGATGTACATGAAATATAGTTGATCGTTTAATATTAGTGCAGTCGAAAAGTTTTAATAGGGCACTAGGTCTATTATATACCGTGGGAGGTACTAACTGGGTTTTCCTGATTTTCTCAGTGTACTAACCCCTCTTCCGCTTCCAACGACTGTTGTCTTCGTGACAGCCGAAACGTAAAAATAAATAACAGTAATCCTTCGTCTCGGCAAAATCAAAAAACATTACACGGTGTGCCGAAAAAAAAAACTCGACTTCATAATAAACGTCCGTAACGAAATGAATTAATAATCGTCACAAATCGCCATAATAATGCATAGACATTATAGCCATTTGTAGGAGACGATTTTCATCGTATATTCATACCAACATCGCATCTCGATTTTCTACAAACAAAATTAAGTTTAATTGGTGGGTATTAAGTTTTATTTTTGTATAGTGGTTTGTTACAAAATTTGAACAGGCCAGTGGCACCCAAAGTATACTTATAACTTTTGCATGGTTTATAGTTAAGTTTAAATTTACATCTATACCAGCATTTATAACAACTTGCACATTCATATAAACCACTAATTTTCTGTATTGTAAATGTCATTCGTGAACACCAATCGCTCAATACCAAATAGCGATGACCCTTAAAAAATGCTTAGAAAAGTTCGCATTTTGTCCAACCAATATTTTTCAGATAGGTATCAATTTCTCCATCTCCAACACCTCCGTTCACCATTGCTGTACTATTTCGAGCGCAGACGTGTGATGCAAATTTTGAAAGGCAACTCAAATTTTGAAAGGCAACTTATTTACAGACGCGAGTGCGAGGTCTTAATTATCAATACGAATACGAATACAATGTACGTTTATTCTAACCTAACCATATGCACTCTGTACATGTAGGCGTATAGATAGAAGGAATTTGTTTTGGGGTATGCCTTGGCATCCCAAAAGTACTCAAA